CAGTAAATAAATCAGCAAACTGTCATCACAAAAACATTGCTAGAATGAAATGCTTTGTTTTTAGTGAGGACTTGAAACATGCTTTTATCACCAGCAGGCTGGATTACTGTAATGGACTCCTAAAATGTAATCACCTTCCCAAAAAGACAGACTGTTGCAGATTATCCAGGATTCTGAACAGAACCAGAAAATCAGAGCAGATCACACCTGTCCTCAGATCTGACTCCCAGTTACATTCAGAATAGAATTTAAAGTATTATTGCTTGTTAATAAACCCCTAAATGGCCTAGGACCTCAATATATTACAGATATGCTCACTGAACACAAACCTAACAGATCACTCAGATCAATAGGATCGAGTAAATTAGATATTCCAAGAGTTCAGTCAAAGTAGAGTGATTCCACTTTCAGCTACTACTGCTGGAATCAGCTTTCAGAAATGATCAGATGTGCTCCAACTGTAGGCACATTAAACCCAAGACTTAAGGCACCTATTTAGCTGTGCTTTTTCTAAATGTGTACAGTTTCAACAGATGCCACTATTTGTGTCTATCATTTAATTTCTTTTTTTGTCTTATTTCTTAGACCTATTGTATTTGATCACTCTTTTAATCTTCTTGTTTGTGTAAAGCATTTTGAATTACCATTGTATGAAAAGTGCTATATAAATAAAGTTGCTTTGACTTTAAATGCGCTTCAAATTTTTATTTACAGAATGGCTATGACAGGCTCACGCAGATCATGAAATGCACTTAAGATGATGAAATTTAATTTACTTTCAAATTTGAAATACATATAAGCCTAAAAACATAACAACTCATTTTAATGAGCATAATAAAAACACATACACTCAACAAATGTTTTTTTTGCAACTTATTATTGCTTTAACTTTTTCATGAACTGACCTCAACAATATAAAATGTATTATTATGTACAAAATAGGCCTATTCATCTCAAATAATGTGCACATATTTTTCTAAATCTGTCTTTAGTGAGCACTTCTCCTTTGCCAAAAGAATCCATTCATCAGGTGTGGAATATCAAGATGCTGAATAGCATGATTATTGCACAAGTGTGCCTTAGGCTGGCCACAATAAAGCAACAGTATCTGGATGCGGCCTTTATGATGAAAGCTGAGATTGCATCACTTAGCAATGCAGTGTCAGACATAATGCACTCAAATGGAGCGAGTGGCGTCACTGTGATAGGTAGGGTTAGGGGTGGGGTTAGGTGAGCCCATTAAAAACCACTGGATGCAGCCCAGATTGCACTGCATCAGGTCTGCATCCAGACCTCTCTCCAATAAAGGGCCACTCTAAAATGTGCAGTTTTGATGTATTGGGGCTCCAGTGGTGGAGGTCAGAAAACCAGTCAGGTCGGCACCAGTGATTTAATGGTTAGTGCGTCGACACATGCACTTCGATGCTCACGGCGACCCGAGTTCAATTCTCCCTCGCGGTCCTATGCCGATCCTTCCCTTCTCTCTGCTCCCCATGCTTTCCTATCAATTCTCTCTACTGTCCTATCGAATGAAGGTGAAAACCCCCTAAAAATAAATTTATAACAAAAAAAAAAAAAGAAAACTAGTCAGCATTTGGTGGGACCACTGTTTGCCTTATGCAGTGTAAACATCTCCTTTGCAGAGCCTGCTGAATGTTGGTCCAACTTTCATCAACGGCTGTACGAAGTTTGCTTGATATAGGCATGCTGTCCTATAGGCTGATCCAGAGCATCCAAAACATGCTCAATGGGTGACATTTGCAGTGAGCAGGCCATGCAAGAACTGTGATGTTTTAAGCCTCCAGAAAATTCAATATCATGCTGCAACACGAGGTGATTTTTCATGGATGAATGGCACATCAATGGGCCTCTCAGTAGCTCTGTGCATTCAAAATGTCATCAATAACACAGAGCTGTGTTCATTGTCCAAAACAAAACCTACCCATACTATAACCTCACCACCAACACGGGACACTTTATTCACTTCCCTTCAACTTTGACACCAGAAAATTGCTTAACCACACAACATATGCTGTCTGGTATCTAGTGAAAACTGAGATTCCACTGTGAAGAGAGTACCTCTCCAAAGTGTCAGACGTCATCAACAGTAGCATTTGCCCTCTCAAGTAAGTTATATGACAACAGACTGCAGTCACTTCGAGATGAGTATAACAAGCATGCAGATAAGCTTTACTGAGACAGTTTCTGACAGTTTGTGCAGAAATTCTTTGCTTATGCAAACCGATTGTTGTAACAGCTGTCTTCAGGTGGCTGGTCTCAGATGATCTTGGAGGTGAAGGTGCAATAATCTGCAACAACAGCTCTTGTACAGCCTCCTCACCCTTCTGTATTACCCCATCCACATAGAGTGACAGCTGATCAATAAACACACTACAGTTTTACAAATATTCAAATGTTGGGCAAAATAAGTACTAATGAGGCTTTTTTAGGCAAGTAAGCTACTAAGCAGTTCATTTATAAGGATAGTGCCTATTTTAAATATTTATTGTTAGATGAAGCCAGGAAACCATGATAACATTTAACATCTTTTCTTGTGCACAGCAGACAGTTCACATAACTTTACATGATGGATTTTTATTTCTGCCATATCGCTGTTGTACATGCGCAATAGCGGGCTTAGGAACAGAGAATTTAAAGTGACAGAACACATATTCTACATCCTCCTTCTTTAACTTTGACAGTTTCTTCTTAACAAAAGATTATTGCATAGCAAACTAATCCAAAATTTCAGTTTTTTGAGAAATGTCTCTAAAAGGTAAACTGAGCTTAGAGATAAGCTATAAGACTTTTAACAGCTCAGATTTTAAGCATTAATTAAACAACTTCTATACATTTAGTATTGTTACTCAGTGATTGAGTGTTTTCTCCCTCTCATCTCAGTCCTTGTATTTTGGGTTTGGTTTGCAAAGACGACCAACTCTTACATACAATACATTTATAATTTCTTAGATAGAGCTCATCGGCATCCATCAGCCTGTCATACTGAGCAGAGCAAAGACAGTTGACGTTCCGCCACAAGATGGCGACAGAGACTGCATAATAAGCCCTTAGAAGAGAAAAACTCAGCATAATTTCAAACTACAGCTGATCAAATCATTATATGGTAAAACAAGCAAGTGACTTTCTATGTCGATCTCTCTCTTTTGTATGTTGTAGTGCTGTATTTATACTATAGTCTGGTAGTGTTTCTGGTGTGTTTCTTGTAGTGTTTGCTTTACTTTGGCCTTTTGGGGGTTAATTATTTTGATATTCCGACTGCAACAGAAAAATACTGGGAATGTCTCATGCCGTTCAGCCTCAATCTTAAAATGTGAGCAAAATCAACTGTTTTATTATAACTTTAGACATTATGCTATAGAATCATTCAAATACTAGGTCTACTGTTCTGATGTCAGCTGTAGATGTGTAGATGTAAAGGAATGGCAGAAGAAAGTAGTTCATCTTACAAAATAATTTTTAGACTCTCCTTGTTTGATTTTCACTTTTATATGATTATGCCGTCGAACTGTTGTATAAACGCAATGTCATTACTTGTATAAAATGGTGCAATTGATATTATTATTATTATTATAAAAGTCTTGTATGTGGCGAGGCAGTGGCGCAGTGGGTAGTGCTGTTGCCTCACAGCAAGAAGGTGGCTGGGTCGCTTGTTCGAACCTCGGCTCAGTTGGCGTTTCTGTGTGGAGTTTGCATGTTCTCTTGCCTTCGCGTGTGTTTCCTCCAGGTGGTCCGGTTTCACCCACAGTCCAAAGACATGCAGTACAGGTGAATTGGGTAGGCTAAATTGTCTGTAGTGTGTGTGTGAATGTTTGTGTGGATGTTTCCCAGAGATGGGTTGCGGCTGGAAGGGCATCCGCTATGTAAAAACTTGCTGGATAAGTTGGTGGTTCATTCCGCTGTGGCCACCCAGGATTAATATATATATATATATATATATATATATATATATATATATATATATATATATATATATATATATATATATATATATATATATGTGTGTGTGTGTGTGTGTGTGTATATATGTATGTAAACTAATATTCTTCAATTAAAGGCTTTCTTTTAATTAATAACATTTATTAGTTCGATTGTTTATGAAATTATGATGTTGAAGCTCGTTCGCAGGTGTATTTTCACCACTCCTTCATTTGCCTGATTCAGATTTGTTAACCAAATTTAGATTTCACTGAACAATGATGCAAAATCGCATTGAATTGTTTTCTGTTTATGTGGCTACACAACAGTTTTTAGGACTTTTAAGATTATTTTGTAAACATTTAACATTTTAAAAGTGAGCAACACATTTATTTTGCCAAAATATTATTTTTCCGTTTTGGTGACCAATCTTATTTAATGGAGGACAAGCAAATGTTTATTTAGTTGCCGTGTTTTTATTTTAGTGGGGCAGAAGGAAACTTAGATGGAGATGCCAGGACTTTTGTGGGGCCACATGTTGGCTGTGCGAGTCGACTACAACTGAATCAATAGAGCTCTCGAATCGGAGTCGATCCAACATCGGAATCGATTCTTGTTGTAGACACTTAACAGAAAGCAGTCTTCCACCCACTATTTTGGCAGTGATCGGAACGCAGTTTCTTGCTTTTGTCCTATTCAGCATTATGCAGGTTATTTAAAAAAAAAAGTTTATGTAGTTTTTTATGAAGCCACATAGGCGATAGGCCTAACTAACACTCGTTTAAAGAAACTTCAAATCACTGTATCACCCGACAATTAAAATAAAATTGATTGATTAATTAATTACAGAATGTATTTCTTTATTTAAATTCTGAATGATAATAATCGACAAAGGCTGCTCTTGATTTTATTGCTTTAAAATTAGGCATGGGTAACATCAACTTAATGTGTTTTGTTTAACTTGGTGTCTAAGTCAGCCTACTATTTTGGTCTATTATATTGCTTGTTTTAATAAAGGGATTAAGCAAAAATATCAGGGTTGAAAATGAGCTGTGTAATAATGACTGCAGTTGGGTTGTTCTTCACCTTGCTTTAGTTTAGCCATGTGAATGAAGGGTGTCGGTGGGAGTCGACTCTGAAAACCGGGAATCAAACTCCCAGGTCCGCGCCGCTTTAGCAACTCCCATTTCCGGGTAGACCCGCAGTATGAGGAATGCTGACGTCAGTGTCAGCTGTTTTACACAACATTATCTCATGCCGGTAGGACGTACCTTCACAACAACATAGAATGTGATGAAAAGAGGCAAGTTGTCCTCCTGTGCGTCGAAAACTGCATATCAACTAAGCATTAGATCGGGAGCAAGGGTTAGCACAACGCAGCCAAGGCTCTTCACTCCAGTGGTGGATTTTCCACGCCCAGCTGTAATCGCCTTCTCTCGGATGAAATCGTACAGCCAGCCGTTCAGATAAGGTGTGTGTGGTTTCATTCTCGCCGCGCGCAGTTTTCTCTTGTTCTTGTTATCAGTGTTGAAATGTGTTTAAACTGTTTGCTTGGGATTTGCTCATGTGAGTTGATGAGGTTTGACTTTGTTTACATTCTCAGGTCTTTCTACAGATAGCCTAACAGTGGCAAATGTTTCTCACCTAACGTTACATAGATTCGGAAAAACTTAAACCGCATAGACGCATTTCACGTAATCTTCACTGTAATTTTCTTATTAACTGTTTTTTTTTCAATGTCTATAAATCTTTATTAAAAATCACATTTTAAGATAGTATAAATATGTCTTTACATAGAAATTTAAATAAGGACATGCTGAACATATCCATTTAAATGTATCAATACAGTCTATGTTAGTAATTTACATGTTCTTTTAGCAGTTGAGCAATTCCAGCGTTATGGATGTGACATTTGCAGTAAAAACTCAAAACATAAATGCACATAGAAAGAAAGTATATGTTAACATTATATTAAATCATCTGTTTACCTTTTCCAGAACAACTAACCACAGAGTTGTAGGACTAGAAAAAAATATGATCTGTAAACATGTTTTGTACTTTGATAAGGAAAATAAACATGCTTTATGGATGTGACCAAAAAAGTATGCAAGTTCACAGTATACAACATGCTATGGAAAATTCTGTGAATTAAAACACACAACCCAAAAGAAATAATCATAATCAAAAAGATAAAATATTGATCTCTATAGGACAAAAATAATCGACTTTATTTTATTTAATATTTTTGCAATTATGAGGAAAAAGTGTTGTTATGGATGTGACATCTCTCTGTTATGGATGGGACTGATGTGAAATTGACACTTGTTTGACTTTGGTAAATAAAATATTATAGTTTGAAAACATTGACAGATAATTTTTTGAGTATTTGTAAAGTACTGTAAAATACTTGCTTGAACAAAATGCTTAGAAAAGCTTTCTGTATTTTGGCAGAAACTTGGAATGGAAATGCTCAGTTACACTGTAATTTTTAATAAGACCCCCATAAACAAATTTAACACAAACCACATTAGAATTTAACAGGAATTGAAAAATAAAAAGAATTCTATTGTTTAAATTAAACACAAAATGCTTTATTGATATAGCAGATGATTTAAATGGTAAGTTAACAAAGAAAAAAAAAAAAAGGAAAATTAGTCCATGATTTACTCACTAATATAGCTGGATCAGTCTGTTTGAGTGCGTCTCAATCATCTCCCTTAACCACAAGGTTTTGAATTAGTGTACACAAATCAGACACTGGTAAGGACAGTTAGGACCTTGGTTCACTAAATATTGGGACACTGAGCGTGACATGAGAATGTCCTCATTTTCCAACATCAAAACTAGAATTTTTAGAATACACTACCTGTCAAAAGTTTGGGGTCAGTTTTAAATTTTATTTTTATTGATTTTATTTAATAATTTAAATAAAATACTCTGTTTATCAAGGTGACATTTATTAAATGTATAAATAAATCATTAAATAGTTATTTAATAAATATTTATTTATTACTTGTTGTATGTAGTTACAAATAAAAAAAATTGCACCGGTAGTGTATATAGATTTTTTTAAAGTACACTCTAAAAAAATAACTATGATGGCATATGTTTGGCATTAGGGCTGTACAATATTGGAATAAAAATCACAATGCAATATTTTGCTTTTTTGTAATATATATTGTGATATGAAATAAATTTTATTAGATGGATTGAATATCTAAATTTATTATTTTAAATGGTAGGGGTGGAGAGCATCTGCATAAATTATTCTAAACTAGTTATAATTTCATTTAAAATTAAATCCCATTTTTTAAAGAAAAAAAAGCATACAAATTAGAAAAAAAGTGCTTTATCTGCTACATTTCCTGGTAAGTCTTGTTGACAGTCTAAATGTTAATTAAATGTTATTATTTGCCTAAATGCTTTAAACTTACTTGAAATATTTAACTGAAAGAAAAAAAAAAGATAAACTTTAAACCCAAAATGGTTAACAATAACCCATACTTGACACTGAAGATTCTGCGATGTGACTATGCACATTGTGATATTAATGCTTAAACGATATTTTGTGCAGCCATATATGGCAGTTCAACTGTTTGTCTTGGTGTATTAATCATAATTTTGGAGACTATACTGTTTTGGTTGGACACTCACAGACACTTATTTGATCCAAAGTACAGCAAAAAAGTGCTAGCAATTCCGGAGTTATGGATGTGACATTTGCAGTAAAATCTCAAAACATAAATTCACAGAGAAATTATATGTTATCATTTTATTGAAACATCTGTTTATATTTTCCAAAACAACTAACCATAGAGTTATGGGAGCAGAAAAAATATCAATCTCTAAACATTTTTTATTTTTAAAAGAGGAAAACAAACATGCCTTGTGGATGTGATCAAAAAAGTATGCAAATTTACAGTATACAAAATACGTTATAGAAATTCTGTGAATTAAACTGCACAACCCGAAAGAAACAATGCTAATCAAAAAGATAAGAGCTAGCTCACTATAAAACAAAAAATATTGATTTTCTTTGACATTTTTTGCTTTTATGAGGAAAAAGCTCCGTTATGGATGTGACAGATGTAAACTTGACACTTGTCATATAATAATTTGAAAGCATTAACCAAGACTATTTTTAAAGCACTGTAAAATACTTGCTTACACAAAAATGCTTAAATAGTTTCGATATTTTGATAAAAAGTTTTTTTCATGGCAAGATTGACATTTGCATGGAATTGCTTGTACACTTTTACAAAATGTTTATTTATTTTTTATAACAACCTGTAGTATTTTCCTGTGATTACCACTACTAATATTACTACAATAATAATAATAATAATAATAATAAGAAAACGAATTAGGGATTCTCTGATCGATCGGCCAGAGATTGGTATCGGTTGATAATCATGTTTGAGGACTGACTCTCATATACTATAACAAGTGTTTGTTTATGGGGTTACAATCTAGGTTATACATCCACAGCGCTACAACACATGAGCAATGTTTCCAAATTCCATTGTTAGTAATTTTTAAAAGCATTTTTAAAATGTTTTATCAGTTATTTATTTGTAAAGCTTCTTCTGACCATTACATGTATTCAACGTCCTTAATTTATTCGCTTAGGTTTGGCGAGATCTCATACATACAGTAGAGGGAAAATGTGCTTATGCAATATCAAAGTTATTAAGCTTGAAGCATTAGAATTGGTACTTGTTATCGACTGATTAAAATTACAAGGAATCGGTACTCAGTATTACTCAGTCTGAGTATTAATCGGTACTCAGTAGCTTGCAAAAATATTGATTGAAGCATCCCTAATAATAATAAACATTTCTTGAACAGCAAATCAGCATATTATAAAGTTTTCCAAAGGATTATGTAACTGGAGTAATGATTATTAAAATCCAGCTTTAAAATCCCAGGAATAAATTACACTTTACAGTACATTCATATTGAAAATAGTTATTTTAAATGAAAATGTTTCACAATGTTAGTGTTTTTGTTGTACTTAGGATAAAAAAATGCAGGCCTAGTGAGCAAAAGAGACTTAAAAAAATCTACTCTTATAGACATACAACATTTTTTGCAGTATTGCTTCCTAATAAACTTTTATCATTTGCATTTTAATATGCAATTCTCTCCTAATAAAGAGTGTAGTTTATTTAACACATCTTTCGAAACAAGGATGATTTTTCTATAACATTGTCAATAATAATAATAATAATAATTGATAATGTCAGCTGAAACAACACAAAACAATTGATGTAATTTCAGTATGCCGGCAATGTGGCCTTCTTGTTTGTGTGATAAGAACATTTCAAGCAGACGATCAAGCATTTTCCCAGCGTTTTAATAATCTGAAGGTCAGAAACAAGTAATGATGGACTTTTTGCAATTTGACACTCCTCACTATAAAACAACTGATGTGATGAGAACCATGAGGCCAGTAATGATCTCTCATAATCATTAATGATCTATGAGTTATTGCAACACACAGGTTGCTTATAGATGTCTTTTAGTCTAGTCTCTGATGTAAATAATGACCATGCTGACTAACTCTTTGATATGGCTTAAATGATAAGAAGACGGTTAGGAATGTTTTTTGTTTAAAGTGTTAATTAATTACTTATATCAGCTACTAGTTAGTAGGCTTCTACAGGTTGGCTTGCTGTTCTACATAACATTCTGATTAATTTGCTCGATATAATTACTATGTGTTCCGTGTGAACTCTTCTCTCTGTCGTTCTTGGCTTTCTCCGATATCTGATCTCCATAGATAATTCATGGTTTGACCTCTCTGGCAGGGTTTGTGACGCTTGGGTGTGGTTTGTGCATTAGTCTGGGCAAGCCAGAGGGAATCTGCATGGTGAAGAACGTCCTTGTGATTTTTTTTTTTAATGCCCTACTGTTTTGGCAGCCTATTAGCTTGATCATAAAACCAGTGGACTGTGCATAACTAGCAGTTTTCATACTGTAAGTAGTTTGATGAGAGATACTCGTATGAAAGGTATTTAGCATGCTAATAGCTAATGAATCTGCTAGCACATAAATTCATAGAATATCTCCTGATTTCAGTGAAATAACAGTATTATGTGTAGTGAAATGAATGTGTTTCAATCATATTTCTATAAGTACATTGCTATATCTGCTCAGCTGATTGGAAAGATATCTCAACGTACACTTACTGGCCACTTTATTAGGTACACTTTGCTATTATAATATTGGACCTTGTGCCTTCATATACCTGACCTATATAATGCAACAAAGATTCAACAAGGTGCTGGAAACGTTTCTTTTGAGATTTTAGTCTATATCGACTTGATTACATCTAGAATTTGCTGCATTTGTTGGTTGCATATACATGGTGTGAATTTCCCATTTCTCAACATCCCAAAGTTGCTCTATATTGCAAATTTTCCCACACATAGACTTTACTTGGGTGGGCTGCCCAGGTATATTAATGGA